GTCTGTCCCTACGTAAAAGATGTCGAACACCACCTTCGGGATCTTGTTCTCATCAGCTGGTTCCTGAGCGTGGTGGGGGTCATCGTCTGCTCGAGCCTGCACGCAGATGGGACACCAAGGCCGAAAAGGTAGATGATGCCCTTCGTGCGCGGCTCTCTCCGCAGCACTAGGTTGGTGAGGAGTCTTCAACACTCTCGTTGGCACAGTTGTGGTCTCATCAGCTTCGGGACCTAGAACCTTCGGCAAAGCTCCAGCTTCCTGTTCAGCTGGTACCTTCCTTGGTAGTGTCTTTCGTACCGCAGCTACCTTTGAAGCTTCTGGTTGAGTCTGGCCGTCGATGATGTGATCGTACTCTAAGTAGTAGTTGCCTTGGTGACGACGTAGAGGTACGAACTCAGCTCCATCAGGTGGCTCGATGGTACCGTTGATGATCCAGTGACCTGCAGGGCTATGAAGAACACTCTGACCACGTTGTACTACAGCGTCTGTAGCCACAACTGGGTACTCCACATCGGCAACCTCAGCACCGACTTGAATAACCTCTCCTCCTCGGGATAGGTTCAGCTCCACGTGGCCGTACCTCTCGATCTCCTCGCCTCCTATGCCCTTCAAGCCGACAACGTTGCTGTCCGTCGGCGTGTAGTTGTGCTTGGTCACCTGTGACCTCGGTATCGCACTGATCTGCGCACCTGAATCGAGCATGATCGCATTCCGAAGCGGGGCTAACCGCAATCGGTCATCCGCAGGGCTCTGATCTTCATCCACGGGCCGAAGACCAGCGATGGTAACAGGCCTGGGGCCGGCCAGCGCGGGGCTCACCGCAGCTGGCATATCGCAGCACTGACGGTCGTCAGCGACGAATCTAGCCTTTCTTGCGCTTCTTTGGCTTCTTGTCGTCGTCTGGCTCTTCCCCGTCCTTGAGGCCGTCCAGGCAGTACTCGGCACACACGGCACAGTAGTCCAGCTTCCACTGATCGTAGTGCCATCGCCGTCCTTCAAAGGTCTTCTTGCAAGAGCAGCATACATATTGGTAGTAGCTAGGCAAGCAGTACTTCCAGTCGATCGTGTGGCTGCGCTTCTTGTGACCTCTGCCCTCAGGGCCAGAATCATCTTCGCTCGCAGCGCACAGTTGACTGGGCGCAGCACCTGCTGAGTCATCGCGCTGTCGGCGCTTCCCTGACTTCCTAGCATCTGTTGTGTCGGTGCTGTCGAGCTTGATCCTGTGCCCACTCCTGTCTGTCGTAACCTTTCGAGCTCCCTGACTGCCGCTGCCCCGATCTTCTTCTTTTCTTTTGCCTTCTCTTTTCGGAACTGCTTCTTGTCCTTCTTGTCCTTCTCGGGTGTCTTCTTCTCGTCGGCGATCCGCTTTCGGCAGTTTGCGCTGCGGTGACCCTTCTTGTGGCAGTAGTGGCACTCGATCTCGGCGTCGGGATTCGGTGGCTTCTCCTTGCCTTTGCCGTCTTTCCCTTTGCCGCGGCCTTTCCACGGTCTCTTTCCGCCCTTCAGCGCTCCGATCTCCATCGGGTCGTCCTGAACCGCTCGCTCTGCCGCCAACGCCGACACCACCTCGGCTCTCAGAAGCTCGTACGTACTTAACCGACTGCTGTTCCGAAACACGTGCTTCTGGAGCTCGTCGTGATCCTTCAGCGCCTTTGTGAGGATGCCGCGCTTGATCAGGTCCGAGACGGCCTCTCCTGCCATCTTCTGGTACCTCGCCATGTCCTCGTCCAGCTTGCTGATGCTCACCATCACGTCTTCCTTGGCGTCGAACTTCGTGTCCGTGAGCTTGGTCCACATCGCCAGTACGTTGCCTGCCTCGCTCGGGTTGTACTCCTTCTGAAGCTTCCTCCAACACTCGGCTCCTTCTCCTACTGGGCTGTTCCTCACGATCAGCTCGCCCACCGAGTCCTCGGGCATGGCCAGGACCAGGCCGTAGTACAACTGCGTGCTGAGTTCTTCCTCCTGCGGGTCCAGGTTGACGTTGTCCACCTCCTGGGCTCCGTCCTCGCACCTTTCCAGAAGATCTCGGTACCTCCGATCCTGCGCGATCAGGTACGCTCTGTACTGGAAGCTGAACGTCTTCCAGCTTGACCTTTGGCCGTCGAACGGCTTCACCTTGTGAAGGATCTTCGGATCCATCATCTCGCCGCGCGGGGCTACCCGCTGCTGCTGAGCCTGCTGCTGAGCCTGCTGCTGACCCTGCAGTTGTCCTCTCATCTCTGCGATCTGCACGTCCCTGTTCTGAAGCTCCTGCCTCATGTTCTGACTCTCCGTCGTCAGTCTCTGAACTTGATCGACCAGTTGCTGCAGCTGCTGCTCCATCTTGGTCGTCGTCGAGCACGTCAGTGACACGCTTCTCCAGCCTCTCGATGTCGCTCGCCAGCTGCCTCTTCACTGCTGCTCGCTCCTCCTGAGTGAGCTTCGCCTTGCTGCCGCACGCCGCAAGCTTCCTAAAAGCGGTCCCTCGTAGCTGGCGGTGCTCACGCGTGTCCGCCGCTCTGCCTCCTCGCTTGTTCGGCTTCTTGGCCTTCAGCGTGGCCTTGCCCTTGCCCTTGTTGGCTGGCTGGCCTCCGCTGCCAGAGCGCGGGTCTGACCGCAGCTCTGACCAGCAAGGGGTACTTCGTTCGGCAGCCGCGTGGATCGTCCCGCTGGCTGCCGGACCCGCGGCGTCGCGCCGCTGGGCCCTCTCGAGGGGCTCCTGGAGCTCGCTGGGGTGCGGAGCGGCCCGCGAACCTCAAGCGAGCTCCGCTACCATGCACGCGCACCCACCCCCCTCGCGGAGAAAGGGGGGAGGTGAGGGTCGCTCTTTTCCTCGAGCAACAAAGGGCTGCAGGATTTCCTGGATCCTCCAGGACAGTCTGATTATATTCTCTATAATCACATATATATGTAAAACTACAAACTTCCCAGCACCTTCAGAGAGAAATGCCCAGAAACGCCCTATTGGTTGACCCGTCGTCGTCGCCGTCGTCGTCGTCGTCGCCCTCATCGCTCGCCATCGTCGTCGTCGTCGCGGATGGGTTACCACACCTTGCCATTACGAGCGGCGCAGAGATCACGCGCATGGTTCCCACACCTTGCGATGAGGGAGTCCTGCGCATCCGTGCCGAGCCACGTTCGCTGCACAACTGGTCGGGGGAGATCGCTGGACTCGACGACGACCGCCCTCTGTCTTGCCTCCCAACTCCTTCACTCCCTCCTCCTCCTCCGACTCGTCCTCCTCGCGCTCCCCCACAAGGAGGATGTACAAGGAGGCAGAAGGAAATAGGAACAGAGGATATATGCGAAGGCAGGCAGACACACGCCTGCACCAAACGACTGTCGGCATGCTTCGCTGGGGTTGCTGTTCGGAGATAGCTGTTCGACTGTAGTACTACTACTACTACTACTACTACTACTACTACTGGGGTTGCTGTTCGGAGATAGTACTACTACTACTACTACTACTACTACTACTACTACTACTACTACTACTACTACTACTACTACTACTACTACTACTACTACTACTACTACTACTACTACTACTACTACTACTACTACTACTACTACTACTACTACTACTACTACTACTACTACTACGACTACTACTACTACTACTGCTGCTACTACTACTACTACTACTACTACTACTGCTACTACTACTACTACTACTACTACTACTACTACTACTACTACTACTACTACTACTACTACTACTACTACTACTACTACTACTACTACTACTACTACTACTACTACTACTACTACTACTACTACTACTACTACTACTACTACTACTACTACTACTACTACTACTACTACTACTACTACTACTACTACTACTACTACTACTACTACTACTACTACTACTACTACTACTACTACTACTACTACTACAACTACTACGACTACTCCTACTACGAGGGGCCCGAACGACTCGCACCAGGACGAGGTGCCCGAACGCCTCACACCACGAGGAGCCCGAACGACTCACACCAGGACGAGGGGCCCGAACGACTCACACCACGAAGAGCCCGAACGACTCACACCAGAAGGAAGGGCCCGACGACTCACACCAGGACGAGGCGCCCGAACGACTCACACCACGAGGAGCCCGAACGACTCACACCAGGACGAGGGCCCCGAACGACTCACACCACGAGGAGCCCGAACGAGTCACACCAGGAGGAGGGGCCCGAACGACTCACACCAGGACGAGGGGCCCGAACAACTCACACCACGAGAAGCCCGAACGACTCACACCAGGACGAAGAGCCCGAACGACTCACACCACGAAGAGCCCGAACGACTCACACCAGGAAGAAGGGCCCGAACGACTCACACCAGGACGAGAGGCCCGAACGACTCGAACCACGAGGAGCCCGAACGGCTCACACCAGGACGAGGGGCCCGAACGACTCACACCACGAGGAGCCCGAACGACTCACACCAGGAAGAGGGGCCCGAAGGACTCACACAAGGACGATGGGGCCGAACGACTCACACCACGAGGGGCCCCAACGACTCCCACCAGTCGTCGTCGTCGTCGTCGTCGTCGCCGCCGCCGCCGCCTTCGTCGTCGTCGTCGTCGACGTCGTCGTCGTCGTCGTCGTCGTCGCGGTTGTGGTCGTCGTCGTCGTCGCGGTCGATATCGTCGTCGTCGTCGGGTGCGTCGTCGTTGTTAGGATCATCGCTGTGGTCGTCGTCTCCGCTAAATCCCTCTTGCCTCCCACCGCTTTCTCTCCCTCCTCCTCCGCCTCGTCCTTCTCCCGCTCCCACCACAAGGAGGATGTACAAGGAGGCGGGAGGAAGGAGGAACAGGGGAGATATGCGGGGGCAGGCGGAAACACGCCTGAAAAACACGACTGTCGGCATGCTTCGCAAGAGTTGCTGTTTTGAGATGGGCTGGTGGGGATACGCGAAGCGTGAAGAATTTCCTCCTCATCCTTTTCCTTTCGTCCTCCTCCTCCTCCTCCTCCTCCCGCCCCCTCCTGCCCCGCTCCCTCCGCTTGGGGCGCCTCAATCCCTCGTAGCCAGCCCTCGCAGCCTCCAACGGGCACTGCCTGTCGCGCTCGCCGTGGAAGGCCATCACCTAGGCGGGCAGGAGCGAAGGAAGGAGTGACGGAGGGAAGGAGGGAGCGAGGGAAGAGAAGGAGGAAAGGGAGGAGGAGATCGCAACCCGTCCAGGCGCGTGGGGCACTCGCCCCCGCCCCGCCCACCCACCTGTTGCGGCGGGAGGCCCGCATGAGAAGCAGGGGCGGGGGAAACTACCCTCTCCTCCCCTGGCACGGTATGTGGCGACCCCGACTGGAAAACAAAAGCGGGAAGCAGTGAAAATGGCGAGACTCTCCCCATTTGCACGCCCACGGACAGACGGACGCCAGCTGTACACACGCTTTGGTCTACGTGACACGGCGCCCTGACAGTTACAGCGCCACCTTGGGGCACACCCCGCGGCGGCCTAACAAAAAGGCAACGGAACGGGTGCCAGTTGTCCACGGAGCCCACTGGAGAGAAAGGGCGCCAACACTGGTGTGCCGCGCGTTGAACGGCATGATAAGCCTGGAGACTTTTTCTGAAGGGACGGCCCAAAAGAAGCCGCAGGTCGGAAAGCCTGCAGGAGGCCGCCCCAGGCAGCTTGTGATCGGTAGAACCTGACTGTTCCTGGATATGCCAGGGGGCTGACTTTTCCTGGATGTACCAGGGGGTGGGCAGGGCGATTGGTCCGCTGATGCAACGCGTTGATGCTAGCGATGAAGACCGGTTCGCGGTCACCCTCTGGCTGTCGCCTGGCCGCTGAAAGGTGCTGCCTGAGGAATTCTAGACGCTTCGCGTCTCCCCACCAGCGTCCGCAGCCTGGCTCAAGCCTGGCTCAAGGCAGCCCCCCACCTCTCGAGGGGGCGCCGCTGTGCCCCCCCGTTGACGCTGACCTCCGCGGGGGCGCGCGAGGGGCTCGCCCCCCTCCGCGCCCCCGCTTGCTCGCCATGGCCGCGCGCGCGGCGCGGCGGCGGCGGCGACGGCACGTTGCCGCCCGCCGCGCCGCCCCCGCGGCCTGCCCGCCAGGCCTGCCGCCGCCTGGCTGCAGCGGCGTCGCCGTTGCGGCCGCGCCGCCGCGGCGGCCTCCACGGCGGTTGCGGCGGCCGGCCGCCAGCCGCCCCGCCGCCGCGGCCGGCCCCGGCCGGCCTGCCGCCGCCGCGGCCCGGCTTGGCCCCCCGCCCCTGCGTGGCCGGCGGCGCCTCCGCCGCGGCCGCCGCTGCCGCTGTGGCCGCCGCGGCTGCTGCGGCGGCCGACCGCGGCGATGCCGCCTCGGCCGCCGGCGCCGCGGCGCGCGCTGCGCCCTCGGGCCGGCCGCGGCGGCCGCTGCCGCCGCCGGTGCCGCGGCCGCCCCGTGGCCGGCGCGGCCGCGGTGCCGCCGCGGCCGCCGGCGCGCCCGCCGTGGCCGGCGCGGCCGCCGCCGTCGCCGCCGCCGGCGGGCCGACGGCGGCGGCCGCCGCTGGTCGGGGCACCGGGCGGTGTCAGGGCCGCACACGACGAGTTCCATTGTGGCCGCACCCATCTGCGCGACCAGCTGCAGCCAAGACCACGGGACCAGTTCTGCGCGGCCCCACTCCCAGCCCCTGTTGTCCTGCGCCCCTTCCGCGCCCTTTGCGCTTGATAATGCGCGAAATCGGCTCCGCAACTGCGGGGTCAAAAACAGGAAATCGGCTGTTGAAGGGGTCAGCTGGGTTTTCGTACTCTTCGCGGTAGTACTTCAAGGCCGCGTTGTGCTGCTTATAGTTGCCATGCCAGCGCGCCACGTAGGTTTGGAAGTGCTCCAACGTGTACACCCCAGGGCGGCTGGCGTCCGCAACTGCGGCACCTCCTCGCCCTGGGACATGCGCCACTGCGGTTTTCCCCTTGCCCTTCGCGTCGTCTGCCGCTCGCCCTGCGGGGGCGCCCTCTCCTTGGACGTGCGCAACTGCGCCTTGCCATTGGTTTTCGCGGCCGCCTTCCCATCCGCTCCAGCGGCCGCCTTCCCAACCGCTCCAGCGGCCGTCTTCCCATCCGCTCCAGCGGCCCTGCCCGCGTTCGCCTGCGCCCTCTCCTCCACCGCTGGCGCGGCCCCCCCAACTTCCACTGGCGCCATGAGTTCCGCCGCCACCCTCCTCTCCGCATTGCCAACCTCCGCCGCCGCACTCCCGTCCGCGACCGCGGTCAACTCCGTCGCCGTTTCCCCATCCATCCCTTTGCCATGCGCCACTGCGCCAATCTCCGCCTTGCCATCCACCGCTGCGGCCACCCCCGCCGCCCCATCCGCCACTGCGGTCGCCCCGCCATCCACGAGCAGTCCCATCGCCGCCTTCGCCCCATGGAGGCCCCGCAACTGCGGCCCTATTTTCCTTTGCTTCCTCCAGGGCCGCCGTTTCGCACATATTTGCCAATCTGTGCAATTCTCTGCCCATCCTGCACAGGCGCGAGCCCGTGCCACCGCCGACGTCGGCGCTGGTTTGAGCCGAACGGCACTGCTTGAGCCGAACGGCACTGGAGGGGGAGGGCGGGAGGGAGAATGCAGTGAGGAGGATCGGGGAGGGGTCGAGAGCTCACCTTTTCCAGGGCGCCCCCCCGTGACCGTTTCCTCGCGGCGGGGGGGGGCCAGGGCCCAGGGGGGGCGGTCAGAACGCGCCCCACCAGAGCGCCCCCCCCCCCGTGACCGCTTCCCGCGGCGGGGGGGGCGCCCCAGAACCCAGGGAGGGAAACAGAACACGCCCCTCCAGGATGCCCCCCCGCGACCGCTACTCGAAGCGGGGGGGCGCCCTGGAAGGGCGGCGACGACGGCGGCGACGGCGACGACGGCGGCGACGGCGACGACAAGTACAAGCATATATACCAATCGCAATCTATATACATATATATATATATACACACATATATATATATGTACACATACATACATACAAACATACATACATACATACATACATACATATATGTATGTATGCAAACACCCCTGAAGGCAGAGGGGCAGAGGGGAATCTTCGATTTTGAAAGAATTACTCTGGATCGCCGCAACTGCGGCATTGTTGTCCCGCTGGGCCTCTAGAGGCCGAAACTGATGAGAAAACCTCGCCGATCCTTCCTCGAACCCCTCCCCCCCCTCCTTCTCCTCCACCTCTTCCCCCTCTGGGCACACCGTGGCGACGGACAGGAGCCATCGGCGCGCCTTGCAACAGCCCTCTCCGCCTTCTCCTCCTCCTCCTCCTCCTCCTGTTCCTCCCTGCGCTCTTCTGGCCAGAAATCCACATCGTTCAAAGCAGTCCCAGGGGGCTGCTTTGAACGTTGCCTAGCGTTCAAAGCAGTCCCCCGGGACCGCTTTGAAACGACCTCGATCGTCCTCAGTATAAGGGCTTCTGGATTAGGGGCATCGGACTGGCATGGCGCTGTCTCCTCCTCTGAAGACCCCGGGCTGGCTCAGCCTCCATTGCTCCAGGCACTCTCTGTGGAATACATGTCCACACTGGCCCAGAACTTCCACCACCCCTCGGAGAGGCAGAACCGCATGGCTCTCGATATCCAGCTCGCTGGGTCCAGTCGGGTTCTGGTTTCTCTGAGCAGTCCTTCTACCACTGTTTGGGCCTCTGACCCGTTGAGGGAAATGCGGTCCACATTATGCTGCCTGGCCCTACCGGCCGCCTCGTCGTCTCTCTGCGTGGCGTCAAGCGCCCGTATCAAGGCGTCCAGGGTTCCTCCCCTACTGAATACCTATGCAGCGCCACTGCTGCTTCCGCTGGTGTGCCCCTCAGGCCGCTGTCTGGTGTTTTCGTGCCACGGGGTGGTGGTGTTTCGTGCCCTTCCTGGTGCGGGGGAGTTGGGCCGCTTTCTGCCTGCTGCGCCACCCCCGTGCCCGCTGGGTCGGTCCTGGTTCCGAGCATTACGCAGCCGCGCGCCGCTTTCGACCGCCTGTCTGTCTGCAGTAAGCACTGCCTCCTGGAGCAGCCCGTGGGGGTCAAGCCACCTCATCATGCTTTCCTGCAGCGGGGGGTCTATGTATCCGCCCAGACGGGGGGATGCGACCGTTCTTCCGATGTCTGTCGTCAGGCTGGCTGCCGCTAGTCCGAGCCTGCGGCGCGCCCCCTCCATCGTAGCGACTCCAACTTGCTGCTATGTTTCGCCGGCCCTCCTCGCCTAGGAGCTGGGGATCCCTGTGGCTTCGAACGCCTGTTCGAGTGTGGCCCTTCTTCCTTCTTCCGCCGCTGTTCCCCATATGAAGGGTACCGCCAGCCGACTCCATGTCATGTTCGGTGGGATGTTGTCATTTGCAAACTGGGAGCGGATGTCCTGGATTTATTGCAACAGTCTTCTGACATTTCCTTCATTTCTGTGAGGCGGGAGTGCAGTCGGACTCGGCACTGGGGAGCTCGTGGCGCGTGCGCCGCCGCCCACTCTTGCGTTGCCCTGATGGCGCTCGTCTCGGGCTACCGTGGCGCCGATTCCTCTCGCCCTCGTCCGCAGGGCTATCGCCAACCTCAGCGCCCCCCCTCTCGGGTTTCCAGGTAGCAGGCTGTACCCTACCAATCTCCCGCTGCCTATGGCGGCCGCCGCCGCGGCTCTGCACGCCACGTCCGTTGCTTCAATCGCTTCCGGGCTTGGGTCAGTCGCCCATGCCCTGTCTGCCGGGGTGATGGAGAGCGCCTGCTCGATGAACGTACCCCCGATTTCCCTTCGGACCCATTCCACTTCCCCGACTGGGAGGCCTTCGAAGCAGCGTTGGTACCTAGTCCTTGGGCCCCGTGACCCTCGTGGCGGGCACGGGTGCGCTGGCGGGGGTTGCACCGGCACGCTGGCGGTGGGTGCGTTCAGGAGGCACCTCGGAACCCAATCGCGAAGCTGGCCACCGAGGGGGTGTTGTCGTACAGTATGCTGTAGGTGCGTCGTCGCGTCGATAGCCCATGCCATCGTTGCACAGCAGAGTTTGGCCAGGGAGCCGGCCGCTGCCCAGAGTGCTGGGTCGCCCCATGGTCCTGGTGGGATGGGCATCCGCCCTTCCTGCTGGTTCAGCCTCCCGAGGTTCTCCACCTCCGCCTCAGCCATGTGGCACCAGGCTGCAAGGAGCTC